AACGTCAGTTACTATTTTCACTACGGTGTATAACTTATCATTCTACGATAACTGTTTTATTAGAAACACCGACGCAGTCCACGCTAGTGTTTACTAGCCATCATCTACAAGGGGTCTATTGCTTACTATCAATCACGTGACTTTTTGGAGTTGACTGGGGGGCAAACAAGCGGTTGACTGGGGGGCAACTAGCGGATGCTAAGTCAAAACATATCAAAATAAGTCCTCAAACTATTGTATTTGACTATTTTCTCGACATGAAACCAGAAAACAAGAGATCAAAACATCCTCCAGGATTCTACAAGCCATCAAAAAAGAGCTATTACCGGAAGTGACGTCTATTGAGAGCAACCTATAGAAATATAGATAATACTAAACTGAATCCATAAGTCATAGTTTTCCTTCGAAAGAATGCGAATAGAAACGATCCAAAATTTGGACAGGAAAGAGACTTTGAAAATAATATAACAGTTGCTTATATGGGATTATAGAGTGGTGATACAATTAATACAAAAAATAGCAGCATTGAAACAATTGAACACAAAAGAAATACATGTGTTTGGTGCTATTTAGTTTTTGTGCTATATACTGTACCTGGATATCAGTGAATCCAGCTTGTTCCAATTGCTTTACGTACTCATCCTTCGTAGGCAGGTACGCTATGAACAAATCCTCCTTTAGCATTCGACTAAAGTTATCATCATAATCACTGAGTTTGTAAAAATCCTCTGTGTACCTAGAAATAAATGGAACGAACCTTAGGAGATATGAATTTAAGGGGGAAGGGGAGGGGAAAATTTTGGCATGAGCCAGGGATCGTACCCGGGACCTTCAACACCAAAGCCAGGAGCGCTAACACTGCAGCACCCAAGGTCCTCTGATCTGATCCCAGGTAGATCATCCGGGCAGGGGGAGGGGGGGTTACTGCCCTATATTTGCTATGTGGGTACGTGCCGCCAAACAGGGTATGGTTTTCAGCGATTTTACTCTGGAACAGGGTATATAAAATCGCACTCGCTCTGGGAGAGGGTATATGAAATCACGCTCTTTCCTCTCTGGAACAGGGTATCTATTTTGGCACTATCGGAAAAGGGTATGGTTTTCAGCGATCTTGCTCTGGAACTGGGTATGAATTTCAGCAATTTTACTCTGGAACAGGGTCAGGGTTCAAAGGGCTCAGCGGCATATCCCTACCCTAAACGGGCAAGAGTACCCCCCTGGGGAAGATCATCTCCTGGGGGGAATAAAGGAACATAGTTGTCATACAGCATACTTACATTTTTCCTCCTGGTTTGATGAGTTTAGCACAGTTATTAAAGAGAGACTTGCGGTCTTCAATGTGAAGAATGACCAGCCAACTGACAAGGAAATCAAAGGAGCCGGACTCTAAAAGATGGGAATAAAATAATATATAGTAAAAAAAATAATTGTACAAGACAACCTTTCGCTGTCATGTCGACAACATCAGCAAGTCTAATGAAAACTGTAAACTCTACTGTATGTCTTTTACGACTAGTTTTCTTACTAAATTGTATACCTAAAAGTACCTTTATCAAACCAAATAATAGCAAATCATATTGTATTCTGTATTCTTGCTTACATGAGGGACTTAGAAAGGCTGATTCCTGAGTTCCTTTGGGGGAGGGGGGATGGGTAAGGGGGGGGGGGAGCATTTGTCGACCAAAATAAAGGGAACATAACAAAAAAAGAAGCAAACAAGGATGTTACAAATATGGGAGAGGAAATGCAGAGGGCACTCCCTTAGCTATGTAGGGCCCTGGCTGAGAATGACATAATGTATGTTTTTTTTTATAAGCACCTTGAGCATAGGATAAGTGCGCTATAGAAATAAAGTTTATTTATTATCATTTATTGGATTGCTGAACATGAGAGAAAATTAACATTCTTTGTTTTACTAATAAAAATATGCAAAATTGAGTAGCTTTACAAATGATTTTAACCATAATTCAAACCAAGTGATACGTAACTCCCTTGAGAATAAGATTCTTCATTTGAGTAAAACCTACTACATCCCTATTCATGTACCTTTTTAAGCACTACTAGAATGCAAAGATATATTACAGCTATTCCAAAAAAACGTTCTCATCACCAAAAGCCAAAGAACAACGAATCAGTCTCAACACTAAGGTCCATGTTCTTGACGAGAATAAGAAGCAGAAACAAAAGTCATTCCAGCTATTCTTGGAGCTTGTCGTAAAGACCTATCTCCTATCGCTTTTTGCCTATTGCCTATTGCATATCGCCTTTGGCAACGACAGGGTTTATTGAGATATATTATATATACAGTGTTCTTACCAGGCCGCGACATAACGGGATTCACACATAAAAATCAGAAATGGCGCACAAATGTCAAATCTATGCGCCCCCAGGGCGCATGTATTATCCAAAGAATACTTCCTGATAGTTTTAAAGATTTAGAGTACTTTTGAAATAATAAAAGTTGCATTATATTGTCGATAAACAAGGTGAACGAATTGAACATAGCCGCCATCGCCAAGACGTCTGGGATTAGTCTGTGTTAATTGCCTCTGTTTATTGATGGCCCAATTATGGCTGCCCAGCGAAATTTTATTGTGTTGTCATTACTAATAAAACTGTCTTACATTGTTGTATATTTGCAACAGAGTTACTGGCTAAAAAATATTATTATTCGTTGTTTTAAGATTTTGGAAATGGCCCATCCAGTTTTCTAAATGGCCCCTAAATTTCGGATTGATGGGCCCTTTGACCCCCTGAAAGAAATCCCTGGTAAGAACACTGTATATAGAGAGGTATAATTACACTCCAGGGAATTACATGTATGAGGTAATGAAATGGGAAAACTAAAACTAGTTTCATATTTCAAGAAAATTCAACTCACCCATATCAAGCTTCAAGATATCTCCCCAAAGATGCTTCAGTTTTGTATCCAATCCACATCTTTTAGTTAAGTCCACTGCTGTATCATTGAGATCAGCTTGTAACTCAACTGCCAGTAGTTCACAGTTGGTTTTGGCCACAATAAAGCGAGCAGGACCTCCTAAACCCGATCCAAAGTCAAGGACCTTGTGTGAAGAGCTGGAAAAAATGAATTGATAGATTGACCATATAATTATGCAAAAAAAAAAAAAGACTTAAGAATAATATTTTATCCTGGTCGACATCTCCTTATAATGAATCAAAAACTATGCTACTTCTGTGACACTGTGCTAACATGCACTGTAACCAGTTCAACCTCTACTGTATTTGCTTACTATCATCTGAATGGTAAGTTTTATTCAAATGTTCCCATTTATAGTGTTTACGCACATTAAAAGTAATTGATTTGTACACTTTACATACTTTATTCCCAGCTCTTTAATACAATGCATCACGGCATCTGTCCCAAGGTAGTGATACTCATCAAACTTGTTTACATCTTCTAGTTTTAAGGTGTCTGTTCTGCTATAGCCCAACTAAAAGACATTTATAAATGAAGTTCGTTACCTAGGTGATTGAGAAAATCACACACACTAGTTCATCATGCAAGAGCTTCAGACTATTAATTACTTGATAATCACCTACAAGTGAATATATGATTGCGCACATGTATTTTTTGATGGCGCTCCTTTCAAAATACAAAATAAATATTAATCTTAGAAATGCGACAATGATGTTTTCAAAGTTTTTATTTACAGCCATTCTCAATCACACGCACCCTCTAGCAATCTTTTCTGTCACAACGAAGATTTTGGGGGACGTCAATCACAAGGCATTTCCATAACATTGTGGGAAAGCACAAAGCTGTAAGGGCATGTGCTTATAGAATGTCATGGAAACGCCTTGATTGACATCCACCGAAAGCTTCTTCATCGAGACAGAAACAATCGCTAGAACGTGTGATTGAAAATGGCTGTAAATAACTACCTGTAAATTAATATTACAGACAAAGGGGATCAAGCTTACCCCCTAGATTCCATTGATGGATTCATTATTTGAATATTGAAATTTATCATTCTTTCCGAGAAAACAGTACAAAGACTAAAGATTCGAAATGACTCAAAACTCAAATTCTGATTGGATTATTCCATATGAGGAACACCATAATCCAGTTTTGAATCAGTAATTATTTTGAATCCTGAGTCTTTGTGTTCTCAGAGATAGAGAATAACAGATTTAAATATTTGAATAACTAAACTATTAACAGAATCTACAGTACCGCCTGAAATTATCGAGGTATAAGACGCGTCCATCACGCATTCAGTGCACGCGGTTAAAACGCAAATAAACCGAATTTTAAAAATAAACTAGAAATGACCACAATTTAACCGTAGGTTGCCGAAAAAGTGTGTCCCATATCATACTGTACTGTACGAATTAAAGTGCTGTTTGGTTATATTCCTACTGGTGTGGCATTGAACAAAATACATGTAAAAGGGTTAGTTTGAGCCGTTAATTTTCACTGTAAAACAATTATTTACAGAAGACTCATGGTGTGATTTATCAACTAAATCATCACCACTCAAAGAATATCTGCAGTGAATATTGAATTTTCACTGACAATTACTTCATCTTCAGAGAATAATTGTTAAATATCAGATCTAAACATACATACAGTGGAGCCTTGATAATCTCAAAAGCCCAGAAATACACATTCTTAATATATTTAACAATCAGTACATTTAATATTAGTAATATATTATGATAAATTATTACCTGCTCAAGCTGTTTATAAATCCTTTCCACATCAGAATCTATATATCAAACAGTTAAGGACCATCAGTAGGAATCAGGAGGGAGGGGAGGG